AAAAAAAAAAAAAAAATACTAATCATCACATGTGTCAGATTGTCGAAATCAATTTGATAGGCGCATTACGCTTGTGACCTGCTACCATCCGTTGGTATGCAACTTCATAGTTTGTTAATAAAATGACAAGTATAAACATAGGCAAACAACGTGCACGTAGCGGACCATTTTTGCTCCTTCTAAAAACATCTAAGCATATAATAATCAAAACTAAATTTATTGTATAAAGTAATGATAGGATGAAAAATTGTCACAGTTGTTAAACGTCCACTGCGTACCGATTAATGAAGCCACATATTAGAGATGCATAATACTAATATGAATGTCAACTTCTAACTATCCTTTCCGGAAATGCAAGTTTTGAAGTTGCTTGTCGCTACATTATGGTATTTCGAGTGTGGCAACTCGCTAAGCTTACCTAATTTCGTTTCATAATATTTGACATGCTCCATCCTGTATCAAAGAACAAATTAGAAAAAAAAAATAATAATAAAAATAAAATAAAAAATAAAATAAAAACTTTGAAGGACATATACAAGAAAGCACATCACAATTACCAGTAGATGAGGCATTGAAATGGTGCAAACTTATCATAGATTTGTGAAAGAGCCCCTCCATTGATATTTTTTGTAGTTATCCCTGTCTTTTCATGTACCTGAAATTTGAAATCGAAGTTTAATTTGTTGATGCTAGATGTTTTAATATGGAAAGGAATAGAAAATGAACAACAACCTGCTCCAAATGTTTGATGGTTTCAGTATCAACCGGAATGTCTTGATAGAAGCCAAGGCACATCATGATGTTTGCAACCACAAAGGAGCCAAAACCTGTCATGCTCATTAGAATCGGGCGGAGCTTGACGTGATCCAATTGTTGGAGATAATTTAAATCAAAACTTCCATTTACAATGGATTGAGCTAATTTTAGTATTGTTGATGCTCTGTATCCTAAGTTGCACTTGTGATTCAGTGTGTCCTCATTAAGGCCCGCAATTTGGTGTGGACTTGGAAAGTTGCCCATACAGTACTGATATTGTATCCGCCAGCAACATGATGATGATGATAATCTCCTTCTCTTGGAATTGGATCTCTTCCTGTTCCCACCTCTCAATAATTTCCGCTCAAACTCACACAAAGCTTCAGCCATTTCCAACGTCCTCGACCATCTGGACACAATAATAACATACATACGAGTAAATAAATAATTAATAATATATATA